CGGTCTGAGACGGCGTTTGAGTCGCACAGACCAACGACTCTGTGGAAACTCAGCTGTGCTGCTGAGTTGAGAGCACTCGGACTTACTGTAAGCTTGACCAGCTAATGTTTGCGTTTTTCCTCCACAGTTGTCATTTGCTATCTGTGTTAACTATTTGGCACCCAAGAAGGGCTTTTGGGATTGTTCCCACAATCCAGCTCAGTCCCTGTATTTATTTATGTGTCACAACATTGGAACAGTACCCCCGCGGTGCAAGAGCTGACAATTTTCCACTGACAGTGTAGTTTGGGTTTTTTTTGTAATCCAGAGAGTCCACACGATGTGCCAACTGCAATATGACTTCAGTGACATCTACTGCCATTTTAATTTTAAACACGGAGCGCTATAGCACCCTGGGGTTGAATGTTTCGGATTAGTGTCTCCTACAAATGGTAAAATGTATATGTGACTTGTAGTATGCTTGGTTCAATGATAATGGCATAGCACTGTACAGCTTGCATCATGCAGCGATGCTGCTGAATGGACTGGCTGTTGCCATTTGTCATAATTACGGAGATGCTTTGGCTCAGAACCATTTGCATGTGTACACACACACACACACACACACACACACACACACACACACACACACACACACACACACACTTGGTTTAATACTGGTGTACCTACTTATTCTGCTGTCCAATGAAATTGTATAGCCCTGGGTGTCTAATTATACTAATCGAATGCATACCGCCTGGCATTTATTCATACATTATTAATAGCAGAAACAATAGAATCTCTGATTGGATATACTGGCTTCCTGACTTCTCATCTTCTCCCTGTTTCTTACTCTTTCCCACTTATCTCCCACTCCATCTCTCTCTCTTTCTCTCTACCCCATGACCTCCTTTCTTCTCCCTCTGACTCTTTTCCCCTTCGTCTCCCGTAATTTGCTTGTGGGTGTTGAGTAATTAGCATTCCTTTCACTTTTATTCTGATGTCAGTGCGGGGAATTTGAGAAATGTCCCATAAAGATTATATGTCCCGATAAGGTTATGTCTGAGACTCCATTAAAGAGATGAGCTGCACAATGGCTGCTTGTATCCTTTGGGAAAAAGAGGGCGTGTGTAGGAGAGAGACTGACGGTGACTACAGACCGAGGCTCGTGCAGCCTTTTCTCTTTCATTAACACAAACATTACAGTGAACTAACTGCTGGTTAGTTTTACCAAAACCTCCACAACCTCGTGTACTGTGCTGTCCACTGAAATGCTGATGATGTTTAGGTTACCACATAGGTACTCGCATGATTGTAGACCAACTTTTAGCAGCAGTAAGTTGCAGCGATGGTTTTCTGTGTGAATTTATCTCTCACATTATTGTGGAGGACATCTGGGAGATGCTTCTTCACAGCGTTGCTTCAGCTCGCTGAGGTTTGCAGCATTCGTTTATGCGCAGGTCCCTGAAGGTCCACCACCAGCGATTCTTTGTCAGCCGTTGTGTTTGAGGTTTGCTGCTGTGTGCTGGGATCTTTGTCCTGTTGATGGCCCAGTTTAGTCCAAGCTTTAGCCTCACATTTAACTCTAGAACTCCAGATATACAGAGGAGATCATTCACTTGAGTTTCATTTATAAAGATCAGACCATCCCTCCACCACCGTGCTCACAGTCAGTATGAGGTGTTTGGTTTTCTCCAAATGTGCTGCTGTGCATCATGGACAAACAGGTCCACTCTGGTTTGTAGGTCCAAAGGACATCGTTCCAGAAGTCTTGCGTTTTGTACAACTCTAAGCTGTGCTGTCGTGCTTATTTTAGAGCAGGGGTAACAACTCCAGGCCTCAAGGGCTGGTGTCCTGCAGATTTTAGACGGCACGATCTGATATCCTCGTGTCGGTGTTGGTCCCACATCATCATAATAAATGTTGTTCCAGGTTCAACATTGCAAGTGACCAATCACATTGTTGTGATGTCATACTTTTGCGACTTCGGAAAAAAACGCCGTAAAAAAAAATCTACTTAACTTGTGAGAAACCGCCTCTGTCCGCTGATCCAGCAATTTGAATTCTTTGCATTTCAGGATACTGTTCTTTAATAAACGGTAAACATTATACATATTGTCCTTGCAAAATTGGAATTTCATAAATGAATGAAGCCCTTGGCTTGCAAAAGTATTATGTCACAACAATGTGATTGGCAGTGTTGGTCAAGTTACTTGAAAAAAGTAATCAGTAACTAATTACTGATTACTTCCCCCCAAAAGTAATCCCGTTACTTTACTGATTACTTATTTTCAAAGGTAATTAATTACTTAGTTACTTAGCTACTTTTTAAATACACGATTTACAACCTGAATAGGTGATAAAGCGATAGATCTTTCAGCCCAATTCTACTTTTTCTACATAATCCATCATACAAAATGTAATCAAATGGAAAAGTCTCTTCTTTTTTTTTTTTTAACTTGTTTTATTAGTTTTAATCTTTTAACTTTATGCCTGAAGCAAAAATGTAATTATATGCAACATTCTCTGACTGGAAGAAATTTGTTTTATATTTAAACCTATTTTCTGCACATTCCAGCAAATAAAATATATATATTTTTTGTGTTTACACTCAGTCTTTCAAATAGATGCAAATAAAACACATCAGAAAATAAATAAAATCAAAGACTAGCGGCCCTTTTGCTCTATTTTCACCTGTAAGGCAGGAGTGGGGTATGCGGAGGTTTACCCTGGTGCAGGTGTGCTGCAGCGGTCAGTGGAAGAATCCGCGAGTTTCTCTGTGAGTTTCCCATTACGTGGTAGCGCACTCGGTGCTTGCTTGGAAGTTTAGGGGGTTTTTCGCTGTAAAGAGAAGTTTTCTTCCCACACACAACGGACACTAATGTTTTTGTCACTTTTAATGGAATCAAACTCAAAATAAGGTCAGTACTTCCACGCTTTAAACGCTGCACGCTCATACTCTCTCCCGCACTCGATATATTATCCATTGTTGATCTGCACACAGCTGTTGTCACGAACATCGCACTTGCTTACGTCACTGTCATGAGACATTCTTGCAAAAAAAATCACGGTTTTAGTAACGCAGTAACGCAGCGTTCCTATGGGAAAGTAACGGTAATCTAATTACCGTTTTTGCAATAGTAATCCCTTACTTTACTCGTTACTTGAAAAAAGTAATCGGATTACAGTAACGCTTTACAAGTAACGCGTTACTGCCCATCTCTGGTGATTGGTCACTTGCAATGTTAAACCTGGAACAACATTTATTATGATGATGTGGCCACAACACCAACACGATGATATCAGATCATCCTTTTAGATCTCACCCGGTCAACGCACGTGAATCAAATAACTAGTTCATTACCAGGCCTCTGGAGAACTTCAAGACATGTTGAGGAGGTAATTTAGCCATTTAAATAAGCTGTTTTCGATCAAGGACACATCTAAAACCTGCAGGACACTGGGCCTTGAGGCCTGGAGTTCCCCTACCCCTGTGTTAGAGAGCAGAGTTTCTCTGGTAACCCTTCCAAATAAGCCACACTTGTTCAGTCTGTTTCTAATTGTACTGATGATGAATGTTAAGTTTAACAGGCTGACTGAGGCCTGTACAGTCTCAGATTGAGTTCTTATTTCTGAGTAGTGCACAGATGTCTCCTTCTAGGAAGACTGCGTTAACACATACAGACCAACAAACTGCAGACGCTGCTTTTATAGAGGTGCTCACACTTAATCAAGTGAATTTGATTAGCAGGGCTTTCTGTATCACATGACTGCAGGTTTTTGGAAATGTAGTATTTTTTTATTTGCTGGTGTTAGTGTATGCATCACATTTGTCATGATTGTGGTTTGAGGAGGTTTGTTTGGCACTGGCAGAGGGGAAGAGGTGATGCTCACGGTCACCTGAACTGAGGCGTGATGACTTTTTTAACAGGGAATGATGCACTCAAGTTACTCTAGTAAAAGTCAGCGATAAAAACATGGAGGTGGAAATGAGCATCACCGATGCCCTTTGATGGAAACAACAGCAGATATAACAACACTGTACAGTCAGCGTTACACCATGCGCGCCTGTGACCACAGGCAAATGTTAAAGCATTTTGCATAAAGAAATCCAGATTCAAATGTCAGGTGTTGTTAGATGTTGCAATTGTGCATCACTGTAAAAGAAAATGCTTTGTGTTTGCAGTGGTGGGGGTGGAGGGGACTGCCTCCCCGCGAGATTTTCAAAGCAAATGACGCCATGAGATAAGTGTGGAGCTGTGGGGCTTTGTAAATTGCCGTGTTTCTGTGGAATTCCTTTGAAAACACAATTTATTGCAAGGCAGGAAATTTACTATAATTACAGATGAGTCAGATCTTAAGACTATAACAACTTTATAAAGTTCTCTCTGGCAGCTCAGTCTCACAAACAGAGATGGGGGGGGGGTAGCCAGCTCGTCATACCTTTTGAGGTTTGCGGTTTAAGTCGATATCAATTCTGAGTGCTTTCCTCCTTCAAGGCTAAGTGCTGGAGCCATCGTTTTGCAGATGGATTGTGTAGGCTAACTTCATTTGGGTATCATTTGTATTTCCACATGAATTACGTTCTAGACCTACAAGTCTCGGTGTTGCCCGGTGAAAAATGATTTGCGTCACTGGAAAGCATTTCATTTAAGTAAACCACCACTTCTCTTTCTCTCTGTCTCTCATACTGGATAATACGTGACGCGTATCGAGCCTGTCTCTCTCCCTTTATGCCCACAGAGGGTTTTATCGATCGGTGTATGGGACATACGTTGTCCTCTGTTTTTGACAGGATGTCAACCTCTCTTTTTCCTCTGATGTCTCTTTCCCGTAGGATTTGGATGTGTCATTGTGATGTGATGTTTGATGTGGTGATGCCACAGTGAGAGGTGGCTGACTGGACACTTCTCCTGGACGCAGATGCTGTGTGAATACAAAGATCAACTCGAGAGAACTAGCCTGCTAGTGAATGTGTCTACCACACCTCACCCGAGTTCTCCCTTTTTCTATTTCCACAGACTCTGCAGTTGGGTTGCTATGGCAGCTGTGGCCCCTTCCTACTTCTTCCTGCTGTGTTGGCTGCTGCGAACGGCTAGCTCGGCTTTCCCGGAGGAACCAGGGCCCCTGAACTTCATCCCTACAGAAGGTTTGACCCCTCGCTTTCTCGCTCCTACTCCCTTTTCCTCCGTTGCATTTCTCTCACCCACGACATGATGTGAAGTGTTGGGTTACAGCCAAATGCGCATGGTGATGAATGAGGGGGGAGGCTACGGCGAAGGGTTAAGGTCACGATGGTGGCTGTGGAGATTTCACACAAAACGCGTTGAAGCGTGGGGTCACGCTCGGGAATGAGACTGAAGCCGTGGAAGGGGCTCTCGCATTCGTGACTTTCCCACACATGAGCTCAGACCCTTGAGAGATACGGCCCCTCGAACGCTCAGACTCTGTGGCTCCGTATCGGCTCTGCAGTCTCCGGCTTAGCCCTGATCTAGATTGACTGCAGTTCAATAATATTGACCGGTGGTTTTCCAGCTAAGTCCAGGCCCTTCTTTGTATATCAATAATGAACAGCTGAGCGTAGACGTGTCTGACTACTGGGTGCTGCCTATTGGCTAGGCTGCAGTAGACCCAACAGCTGTGGTTTACAGCAGGTATAAGTGGAAACAGAAGTCAGAGGCCCAATCACAGCGGGTCAGAGTGATGCAGAAACCGGAGCAAAGATAAGACATACAGGATAGGAATGAAGTAGAAGAAGAAAAATATAGAAATGAAAAGAAAAAAGCAGACTGTGCTGAGCACATGAAATAATATCAGATAGAAATATACCAGCTTTCCTTAGAAATCTGTGGTACAGCATGACTGGAAATGTTTTATTGCTTCCATCTTCGGTTCCCTTCCTCTTCCTCGATGTACAGCACTGATCATTTACCTTTCTGATATTTGTTTCTGTCTTTTTGAATTATCAGAACATGCATTGCCAAACTTGTCAACAAAAGGCTGCATGTAAATGAACAATCCATCAAAAGTGAATCTCAATCAGCCAACAAACAAAAACTTGTGAATATAATGACATATGAGGTGCAGATCAGACATCTTTCATTTTCAGATTATTTGTCTACGCTCCCCTCCGTGTCTCGGTACATTTAAAGTAGCGCGTCAGCTGTGCTTTCAAATGCAGATCTCAAATGCTTTCTCCACTTCACCTTGAATACCTGTTACTGAGGCTGAACTGTCAAAACAAACTAACACAAAACCACTTTTATGCTGAGTACTTTTGGCAAAGATGGATGTCCGTTTCAGAGAAGCCATTCTGTTTGATTTTCTGACAGTGGTGAGAAGATACCCCGTGTTTCTGGGCCGACCGCACAAAACGTGGCTGAGACAAGAGCCTCTGCACGTCCAGAGGATCCTGCAGGTCAATCGGACGCTCTACATCGGAGCGAGGTACGCGACCCACACACACATGCAGACACACGTGTAGATGTACCAATCGGGCCTGTACCTGCTGCTAGGTGAATAACTGGTTATGTCTTCATTGTGGCACCTGTTAGTGGGTGGATATATCAGGGAGCAGGTGAACGTTTTGTCCTCACAGTTGATGTTAGAAGCAGGAAGAATGAGCAAGTTTGAAAAAAGGCCAAACTGTGATGGCTATATGACTTGGAGCTTATAAACTGCAGGTCTTGCAGGGTCTTCTCGGTCCGTAGGGGTCAGTATCTTTTAAAAGTGGTTCAATGAAGGAACAGAGGTGAACGGTGCTCCTTGATCACTGTGGATAATGTGCTGAAAGCAAGAATCGTTCAGGAACGATTGAGGAGCACAACGTTGCTTTTGAGGTGTCGACTTGGCTTCTAAATTCCCCAGATCTCAGTCCGATCCATGGAGACTCCACCTCGCAACTTTTGCACACCTTGATGGTCATAATGTTATGCCCGATCAGTGTATATAGTAATGTACATTATGTCACTTACCTGGGGTTTTAAAATCTCTTGGACTGCCTGTTATCACCAGAGATGGGCAGTAACGCGTTACTTGTAACGCGTTACTGTAATCCGATTACTTTTGTCAAGTAACGAGTAAAGTAAGGGATTACTATTGCAAAAACGGTAATTAGATTACTGTTACTTTCCCATAGGAACGCTGCGTTACTGCGTTACTAAAACCGTGATTTTTTTTTTTGCGAGAATGTCTCATGACAGTGACGTAAGCAAGTGCGACGTTTGTGACAACAGCTGTGTGCAGATCAACAGTGGATAACATATCGAGTGCGGGAGAGAGTATGAGCGTGCAGCGTTCAAAGCGTGGAAGTACTGACCTTTGAGTTTGATTCCATTAAAAGTGACAAAAACATTAGTGTCCGTTGTGTGTGGGAAGAAAACTTCTCTTTACAGCGAAAAAACTCCCCTAAACTTCCAAGCAAGCACCGAGTGCGCTACCACGTAATGGGAAATTCACAGAGAAACTCGCGGATTCTTCCACTGACCGCCGCAGCACACCTGCACCACGGTAAACCTCCGCCTACCCAACTCCTGCTTTACAGGTGAAAATAGAGCAAAAGGACCGCTAGTCTTTGACTTTATTTATTTTCTGATGTGTTTTACTTGCATCTATTTGAAAGAGTGAGTGTAAACACAAAAAAAACTATTTTATTTTATGTGCTGGAATGTGTAGAAAATAGGTTTAAATGTTAAACAAATTTCTTCCAGTCAGAGAATGTTGCATATAATTACATTTTTGCTTCAGGCATAAAGTTTAAAGATTAAAACTAATAAAACAAGTTTTAAAAAGGGACTTTTCCATTTGATTACATTTTGTATGATGGATTATGCAGAAAAAGTCGAATTGGGCTGAAAGAGCTATCGCTTTATCACCTATTCAGGTTGTAAATCGTGTATTTAAAAAGTAACTAAGTAACTAAGTAATTAATTACTTTTAAAAAGAAGTAATCAGTAAAGTAACGGGATTACTTTTTGGGGGAAGTAATCAGTAATTAGTTACTGATTACTTTTTTCAAGTAACTTGACCAACACTGGTTATCACTATATGTGTTACCAAGTAACTCACATCGCCAAGCGCCATCGTCGATGTAATGACCAGACACATCACGGAAAGTGAGTGACATTTGGTGACTTCACATGTGTGAAACATACACTCCTGACTCAAAGTGAGCAAGTTTAACTTCAGCTGTGTCCAGACAGGAAGCGAGAAGCAGCAGCCTGGTTAACCCTCCGTATCCCAGTGGCATTCCATTTGCATGAGAATTCCTAAATTTGCCTAAAGAACTACAGAAAAGCGTCCATGTTTTCATTTAGAAAGAAAAAATAGCTCTTTCAGTTTTCATCATGTCTTTCTCATTATCTCTTTCTCATCCTCTTCATCTTCCTCCTCCACCACTGCTCTCATCTTCCTCATCTCCACCTCATCCTCTTCCTCCTCACCTGAAGCGTCATCTCCAGAGCCGAAGTCAGAGATTTAACCTAAGGCAACATGCAGATTAGACACATGACCTTCCGGCTTCTATACCACAGACAAAGAATTGGCTATAACAACAATAGCTGGTTCTAAGCTCATGTTATTCCAGCTAATGTTGGACTGGAGTTTCCTAAAAATCATACGTTCCCTCTGATAAACAGTTTCACTGCTTTAAGAGTTTGTTAGATCCAAAGTTAGATCCGTGTCTAACTTTCATGACAAGGACGGATTTCGCGTCACCGACTCATCGACCCAATTTGTACTCCTGGAGAGGTGGATGCTTCACCGCCTCCTACTGATGCTGGCGAGAGCATTTGAGCTGACCTGGGCACCATAAAATATTTAACGTACACATATCAGTTTTTATTCCCAATTTATTGTTAAATAAATTATACACAATATATTTTGTACAATATATTTAAATTCATAACCAGTAGAAGAAACTCAACCACTATGAGGTGCAGAGTTTCCACAACTTCAAGGAGGTAGATACGAACAAGCAGCTGGCAATACCAAACAGCTGAAGCAACCACCAGTGAGAGTGCAGGGCAGTGCTGGACACGTGACAGCGTGGTGAATGGAACAGATGGTTAGCTAAACAACCGGCACCTGAAATGTCTGCGAGCACCCAGAAGCCACAAGCGAATCGCTCCCCATGTGGATACTCCTTAGTGCTAACGTCAGGATTCATCTCAGAGGAAATGTGCAAGTACAGCTGAGGCTGAAGTACTCCCAGATGTTACATCAACACACGCAAAAAAGTCAATAGTTTTTGACCCGTGAAACATGGCACCACAAAGCCCAGGATGTGTAGCCTGTGGGACCTGCTTGGACCATTAGCCTTTCTTTAATAAACTTTGTCTCTTGAGAGACTTAAAGAGACTCTGTGGATCCTGAGCGATCAGCCAAAAGTATCAGGAGACTAGCTTTTAGTAGCCTCGAGTCCACTCGCACAGCATAGGAACATAAATACTGAAGAACTGGTGACATTTGGAGAATGACGGCAGAACATGACCAGTAAAACATTAGCTAAAGAGATGTGAGAACTGATGTTTTTAGAACACTTGTAAAATTTTCCATATCGATTATTTTATTTACTTCTTTCCAGAATATGACATTTTCTTCATTATAACCATTAATGCCAACCTCACACTGGTCAAAAAACACTTACATTACCATTCCCTATTAAATCGATTAGCTTGTTTATGTACTGGTTTCACACGAGCCAATTAAACAGTAAATACACTGACATTCACAGTATATTATACTTTCATTTTGTATATTTAGAGCACTCTAAGACACACACGCATTTGTACAGCACTTTATGTTATGTTTTCACACTTTTATCCATCACACACACTTGACCATGGACTGGAAGAGTGGATGACCTGCTCCACGTCCACAGCCACCGCCACCCCCGATGTGTAATTATTAAACAGCATATGTAATTTTCAGTCATCGGTTCCTCCTGAAATGTCTCGCCTTTCAAATGCAACACATAAAACAACACTGTCAAACACGCTGCACCTGATTCTGCGATACTGTTATAATGACAGCTTGGACACACACACGAAGTTAGTAAGGAGTAATTGAGATTAGCTTGCTCGCAGGGTAATAAGCGTCTCCCCTCAGGTTTTAGCATGTATTATTAATCTTCCAAAAGAAGTTTATTGACAAATAAATTAATAGTTACAAGGCAGACCTCTGAGTTAGTAGGAACCTGGCAGACTGGCACAGCTGCTTCGTGTTACTCTGACATCTGTTAGAAGAAAACATGTGTGACAGCAACATGATGCCACCACGGTAGCAGTTCTCCTTCTCAAACAGGAACTTTAGAACTGAGCACATGGAAACGTTATGTAGGCCTGAGCGGAATAGCCTTGCAGCCATGTTGAAAAGATAACCACGAGCCACGGCGTGCTGCGTGCCATCTGTAAACATTAAGACAGAAAGACTGAATGCATGTTATCGTTTTATTACTAGCGTGTTCCTTTAGCTGTCGCTCTCTTCTGTGGAGTAGCTGCATGTGAGGGCTGATATTTGACCTGACAAATATCAAGTTGAGTGATTTCTAGTTTGTTCTCCGTGTGATGATGGTCCCCATATGCCTGTCAGTCTGCTGAAGGCAGTGATCCTGAACAGATAGTAGCCCCGGTGGTCAGAAAGGCCGGAAGCCCAGTCTCCTCACCTGCGCCACTGCTGTGCAACATCTGGTTCTCCACCGACGCCATTCAGGAGCCGACCTGAAGCAACCGTGCTAAAAAAAAGAGCATGCACGTTAAGATTTACTGTCCATGTTGTCCAGAAAGTAACACAGTTTGAAACATCCCGAAAGAAGGAGACAGTTAGTTTCTACATATGGTGCTGATTATTTGCTGTAGTGGAAGGAAGATTGAAGCGGTTTCCAATAAGAGACGCCGCTGTCCTCCAGGAAATGACCCAGTCTCCTGCCTCCAGCAGGCCTAACTTCACTGCTGAGACTCGGTAGTAAATATATCAAACTATGTAGCTTGGTTCCAGCCATTCTGTCTGCACCGGGAGGATCTATAAGCACACATATGCACACGGTCGGGCAATAAAACTTCCCTCAGACAACTATAGCTACTGCAGTCTGAAGGTCTGCTTTATAACAAGCGGCCATGAAACACTTAAAAAATTAATTTGAATTTACAGCTGTAGAAATTGTTCCTGAACAGGAGGAGAAATCTGATCTGAATGTCAACCAACCGGATGATGAGAAAATACTAAGCTTACAGGCGGGGCAGCGGGGGAGGCAAGCAGAGAGAAAGTTTCGAGACTATATTTCTATCTTTTTGTAAGTGGCTAATAGTGTTTGTGGCTTCCTGGTGGTAAACGATCAGCCTGGAAAGAAATAGATCCATGTGCAAACGCATTTGTGAACCAGAGACGGCCCAGCAGGGTGACTGAGTTTTAAAATGTACACTGTATGAATAAGTACCTGTGGTGGCAGGTATGACTGCCAAAAGCTTCGACAGAGTGCGTGGCCTGATAAGACGCCTCACTCATCCCCAAATCCTGTCTCCATTAGCATAGTTGCTCCTCTGACTGCAAGCACTGCTAAATCCCTGCCCCAGACGCCCGCTGAGAGCTGCTACCTCTCCGTGTCCTCTTCCCATCCCCGCTAAATGAAAGTAAACTCTGTATTTGACTGGTGCCAAGTGGAGTAAGAGTCTTGCTGCGTTAAGCCCCATTTCATTGCTGTTAAGACGAGCAGCTGTGGATCCTGTGGTCCTCAGCCCCGAGTCAGATCCAACAGGCAAATCCACACAAACATAAACCAATTGGAGAGTTTACCAATTGACAGCATGACTGAAGGAATGACTCAAACTCTTGAATAACTGTTCCACTTGTAAGATGTTTGTGCCGTCAGTCTGTGTGCGTGTAGGCGTGTATGTGTGTGTGCGCGCATGTTTTATCTGCACATTCTGCATTACCTGGAGTGGGAAGTGATAACTTGCTGCCAGTCTGGATGTTTTTTACTGTGTTAGCCCGCTAATGTGACTCTTGAAGGTCAGTTGGCTTGTGGCAGTCAGACAGGGAGACACTCTACTGAGGCCGGAAGGGAAAGTTTAGTATGTAAAGCAAGCAAGCAATTTATTTATGTAGCACTTTCAGACCAATTCAGGCTGGAAACAAAGTGCTGTACACTTGACATGGCAAAAAAACCGGTACATTAAATTAAGTTTAAAATAAATAAATAAATAAAATTAAATAATAATAATTAAAATTAAATAAAAACAATAAAATAAGTGCATTAGATTAAATTATAGCAGGAAAATCACGATCAGACTGTGAAAAGCCAAGGAGTAAAAATGGGTTTTAAGTAGTGCTGTCAGCGTTAATCTCGTTAAAATGACGTTAACGGCATAACTGCTCGTTAACCCATTGACGCCATGCAGCCCCACGCACGGGGCGATCCGCGATAACTCGCTAACAGAGATTTACCGCGTTAATGAGGTTATGGCTTTAACGTAATCTTAACGAGATTAACGCTGACAGCACTAGTTTTAAAAATGGACAATGAAGGGGCCTCACTAATGTGCAGAGGCAGGTTATTCCAGAGGTTAGGAGCAGCCATAGAGAAGGCCCTGTCCCCTCGGAGCTTCCTCTTGGACCCTGGTACCTCCAGGAGCAGCTCGTCAGCTGACCTGAGAACCCGGGGTAGGGCTGTGCGATATGACCAAAATCTCATATCCCGATATAAGAATTCTATCGTCCCGATAACGATATAAATCACAGAAATGTAACATTTTCTGTAAATTCTGTGAATCTCGGGCAGCTCGTCTTGCGGGAAGTGTTTCCAGCTGCGCGTCATGTACCTGGAGTCGAGTGTTTTAACCGATGCATGAAACGATACATTTTTAGACATAAGTTGTAACGGCCGCCGTTTTCTTTGTGAGTATTTATTACACGGCGTGCTGCGGGGAAAAGCCTGTTCTAACATTTGAGTCTAAGGTTTATTTTTTGGCACCTGGCGGCTCTTTTTTAATTCTCATCCGTAAATAATCTGCTCTTTCACGTGATTCAGTTTATTTTGAAAAGTCTCAACAGGATCTTGAGCTTTATTGTGAAAGGTTTATGTGGAACATAAACAAGCGGACACGCGATGGTGTGACCGTCGTTGTTGCTAACCATAACGCATAAAAACAGGCGCTTGTCCGTCTGTAGTGTGGTTATATTAAATATAAGAGAAAGAGAGAACTTTAAGAAATTAATATAGCCACTACAGTGACCATCAAAAAGATGAAAAAATTATTGCCGTAAACAGTTTATTTTGCGACACCACGAAACAAAGATAGCGTAAAATGAAATGATAGACGTTTTTATATCGTCATCCGGTATATATCGTTATATCGAACAGCCCTACCCGGGGGTGAGTAAGGATGGCAAGACCGTTAAGCATTTAAAAACAAACTTTGGAATTTTAACATGAGCTCTAAGACATACAAGCCAGGTTTGGAGTAATGCGCTCTCTTTTGCAAGTTCTGGTAAACAAGGCTGAGAGTGCAACTCTCAGGATCACCTCACCGCGTTACCAAAAACATGAAAAATGAATGAAAATAACAGGAACTGCTTTTCAGCTTCCAGCAGTGATCGTTTTGCTGTACGGTGGAACAGCGACGCCCGTCTCTCTCCATCACACTCAAAAGACTTAAGTACACTTCAAGCCACAGTTCTGTTCCTTTGGACTGTAGTGTTGCTTTTCCATTGAACGTTGTTTTGGACATATCTTTCTCTGCCTTATGCTGAATAAAATATATCTGTCGATGCCACTCACCCTAAGAGGCATTCAAACACCTCATCAGCAACCAGATATCAAATAAATGCCCAAACCTTGTTTTGAGCAGTTCTATTTGAGAACTGTTTCCTTTCTGCCAAACTGCATCTGCAGATTGTATCACTTTAGAGAAGAAGGCGCACAACTACCCATGACCCATGACCAGAGGCTCATGCTTAAGACTGAGGGTGTCGGTCATAGCAGAGCCATAATGTTATCTGCATGCTTATTTTGGCCGCTGAATATCCAAATGTCCTAAATTTAATGTCTGAAGAAGGCCTTTGATCAAACTGTTGCTCTCTCAGTAAAATGCTGATGGCGTGCAGGATGTGGTCTGCAGATACCTGATGTCCCCTCTCTCGCATACTTACACTGGACTCCTCTCAGTCATTAATGTCGGTGTCAGTTCCTCCATTTTTGTTCCTTCACTGCTGTAACTTCTGCTGCACGCTGGATTTTCACTCAGAAAAGCAGCACAATACTGCAGCTATGGCAAGAAAAAACATCGTTGTCCTTTATTTATCCAAGTAAAAGTCTCACTGAGATTCAAATCTCTTTTCTAAGAGAGACCTGGCCAAGAGGGCAATTTGAGAGGTCTCGACCTTCAGCCTGCTGGTGTTTGTAGAAAGTTCATGAGCTGGTTGAGTAAGAAAATAGTTTCGATTGAGCCTGTGTTGACTTTGAATTACCAGGTCAAAAGGTTTGGAGGCATTTCTAAAATAATAACTCCGGCACGTGGGTATCGTACACGTAGATGAGGCTACAAAGAGACACTTGTTGATTGTGCTCTCAGGAAAACCTATGAGGTGATTTGAAGGCTTAACACACATCTTGCAATATAAACGTGAACTCTTTTCACACCCTTAACTCCAACCTTATGTCACAAGCAGCACACAGAAACTGGCTAACGCGCATGTAAACAAAGAAAAGCATCCAGGCTTTGCGTCATTCGAACAACCTGAAGTGCAGAAGGAAAGAGAAGCAGCAGTGTAAATAATTCCTCATGGTCTGCACTACGAGAGACAACAGTGCTGGCTGCCAGCCCCACCGACTCGGAGGCCTTTTGCTGTATTCATCATGCCGAGACGATGCTGAAGCAGCCTGGATGAGATTACGTCTCACTCTCTCGCCCTCTCCGCTGATTTGAGGATGCTTAAACTTTGACCTGTTAAGCAGGGATGCACCAAGCCATTGTTTGGTGATTTTGCACTTCTTCACCACTTAACAATTCTCCCGCTCTGATGTGCTGAAAGGGCTGTAATATTCCGACACAGCAACAGGAAGTGAAGATAAATTATTCAGAAGAGGGGTGACCTGCTGGCTCTTGGCCTACCTGGGCTCTTATCAAGCATGCATTCTCACAGCCGCCTCTCTCGTTAAAATTAGATGCAAACACACACAGATACACACTCTCCAGCTCACATGAGCAAGCACTTGTGCGCCTCGCCTTCTGTGAAAGAAATTAGGAGAGTTCGTGCAGCACAGATGGAAGGTAGAGCTGGGTCAGAGATGGATCGATACTGCGGGACTAACATGGCTGTGGCAGATTTACAGATTAGCCACTTCAGAAGAAACCCATGCTTCAGATCCGTCCTGGCCCTCATCAATATGCAAACGTCAGCTGTTAGCTTCTTAGCCTAACTCTGGTTTAGGAGGCATTTTTCAAGGTTACTGCAAACAGCAGACTAAGAGTGCAAAAAAAGAAGTGTTTGGGAAGTCATGAATACATGCATGGTGTTAGGGTTTTGGACCACGTGTGGACAGCGTGTTGGGGCGTGAAAGCATCAGTGTAACAACTTGATTAAATCATCCATTAATTCAATTTTAGGACTAGAAAAGACTGATAAGCCAAATTTGGGGCCATTTTTCTGTATATATTGGGACAAACGGAAGACACTGTAAAGCTCTTCCTTAATCTCTGTTGCTCTTATGAACTTTAAATGAATAAACAGCATTTCTGTGTGTGTTTGCGTCACATAGCTGCGTGTGCTGTGGCTAAATTATACACAAAGCAAACACAGGTTACAAATGCAGATGATGTACTCGAGCTAGCAAAAGAATCCACGTTAGGAAGGAGCCGATGTTGCCTTGCTGTTAGCTCTGGATGGAGCTGTGCTGTCTAACTCCCTCTCTGTGTCTCCCTCTCCAGGGATGACCTTTTTCGTGTGGAGCTGGACACCACTGCAGGAGATGAGATGTTTTACAACAAGGTAAGCACCTTCTTAGCAGACACGCATGGCAGTTACAGCCTTTTAGGTGCGCACGTCACTTGTCTCCAAGCTGGAAAATGTCATTTTCCACGAGAGAAATGCCAGGGTAAGCCGCAGCATTTATCCGTGTTTCATTTCATTTATAGAAAAGAACGTGGGAGTCAAACAAGAACGACATCCGGATCTGCAGGATGAAGGGCAAACATGAGGTGAGGCGGCGTCTGTCTGTCTTAATCATGCTGCAGAGTCTAAACATCCAACAGATTCAGACTAACTTTAGTCATGTTTGTGTCTTTATTTGCATCCAGTAATTCTCCTTTTAGCTCTGATTTTGTCTCCACTCCCTCCTGGGCAAAGTATCCGGCTCTTGAGCCGATAAATGCTCCGCCGTGTTTTCCAGCTCGACACTGAGCCTGCAGACCTGAGTACTGTGTGTTTGGGGAGGTTTATTCGCTAAAAGCTGCTCGCTGTGCCAGAGAACAGCATCGACCAGAAAAGTGACACTCGGCCGAAACAGTGGACAAGAAAATCAAAAGTACCCACTTAAAGACACAATAAATCTCAGTGGAGCAGCAGAATCAGGTGGCTCGGTCATTTTTAGAAGACTCTGTCACGTATAAATCATGTTGATATGATTTGATCACAGCAGCTGAAACGGCTCAATCGCTTTTCCAAACAACAGTAGCTCGTAATCCATAAAATCCGTAAAGGGATGATATTAAAAATGTATTTTATTGCTCTGTATGAACTATAAATGGTTGTAGCTGAAGGAGACTTTGGACATGCCTGGTTGGTGGATAGAAACTTGATTTTATTTTGCATTTTCTCTGTTTTTCACCACTTTTTTTCATATTCTCTGAACTGTTTGTCGTTTCATTTCGTCATTTGCATTTGCGGTAAATTGGAGTGAGTGGTGTCTCTCTGCAGCTTGAGTTGTTTTGCAGCACATGTGAGCTGCACAGTGGCACAAAGTCAGTAAAAAGCTGTTTAAATCAATCAGCTTCCTTTGAAAAATCCTTCAGCAAGGCTTCAGTTACACTGTCTCTGCACACATGTGCACACATGGGCACACGCTTTGCTCTCCTAAATTATGCCACGTTTTACCTTTTTTGCCTGGAGCCTTGGTTTCTTTGTGCCAGTCATCTGATTGTCAGCCCTGCTGGCGCAGCCTTAAGAAGGAGGGCTGTGACCACATATTATTGTCCCTGCTCATCCAAGCCGTCACTCACGAGCAAACGTGCACATCGATTGGAAGAGCACGCAACGTTAAACTCATCCCACCATCGTGAGTTAGGCCTGCAATCTGTGCCCTCGGAAAATGCAGGTGGGCGTCAGGAAGCCGAGGCGGTGAGGAGGGATGGGGTAAAATGTCCCTGCAGCCGGCGGCAGCCCACGCCTGAATACCTCTTATATCTCCGGCACACACACTCAGTCCTTGCTGCTGCTGTCTGCCGAACACACAAACATCACGTATTCAGTGTCTGCGTGTGTGGGTGTATGCAGCTGTGATGGTTGTGGTTGACAGGGGAAACATGGGCTCTGTCCCCTCCAGGCACACAAAAAATGACTTATTTAACACAGTGAGAGAACACCTGACATTAAATCTGTGTGAGACATCGCCAGACAGAAGCACAACGGAGAATAGTGGGACAGAGACAAAAAGCTCGGCACAGAGAAAGGAGGGGGCGAGTGTGGGTCCCTGTTGGCCGGCCCTGCGGAGAGCCGTGGGGCTGACTGAGATATGAAAGGTCTTCTTGCCCCTAATGACTGTGCTGCCTGGTAATGCTGTGAGTCACACGGCAATGTGAGGAAGATAAGAACACTGCCAGGTCCTCTCAGTCAGCTCTCTGGGCTCAGATGCATTTGAAAAGACGTGCGTGTGTGCGCGCGTTTGTGTGTCTGTGTGATTGCATCCAATCATGCACTCACTCCCTGACGGTACATCTTATATTTGCTGTTAAAATATGACTTGAACGCAGTTATTTTTGTTTCAGTAATTACACTGAAAACAGTACAATGAACATTTTTAATTAACCTCTGACAGTATTAACAAAGATGCAACATTTTGAAGGTTTTTCTTTTTGAACATATTACATATTCTGTTTCTGTTTTCTGCCAGAATAAGTACAATTATTATAATCACTCGTATTTAAAATGCATGTTTTAAAAATTCTGTAATTTTTTTAACCATGCAGAGGCTGCTTTACTGCCTAAGTAATGATATGAAGACATAGCAAAACCACTAACCAAACACGAAATAATTTGTGGCAAACCAAGAGCTTGATAAAGAGAATAGCAGCAGTATTTTTACAGTAAATGCAAACATCCATCCATAATATTTTCTTCCACTTATCTAGATCAGTGTCTTAGGGTGTCAGAGCCCATCGCAGCTGTCATAGAGAGAGAGGCCGAGTGTATCCCGTACAGGTCACCAGGGCTAACACCTGCAGCCAAATTAGAAGCACCAGTTTACCTAACTCCATGCATGTCTGTGGGAGTACCTGGAGAAAAGCCTTGCAGACACAGGAGAACATGCAAACTCCTGATAGAAAAGCCCCAGACTGGATTTGAACCAAGGAGGTGACGGTGCTAACCACTGCACCTGCATGGCGTCCACCTGAGAGATCATTTATTGATAAAGTATCTCCATGTGAATTAGCATCGTTAAATACTGTGAAGTCCTGTACACACTGTGTGAGTTTGGGCTGTCCCAGACAGAAGACGACCAAGAATCATGATGACATCTTCAGCATCACAGTGAAAGCGGTTCAGATCGGACAGATTTGATGGTCTTTGCAACCAAAATTCCCACCGTGTCACCGTGTTTGACTCTGTGTCTGTCGCTTTGACGCAGAAAAAGGAAAGTCTAGTTGTGTTGGGGTAGCAAAAGCTGTTTTACCGTTGTGTCCTTCAGCTGCTGAAACCACGCCGGTCGAGGAGGAGGAACGTGGAAGCAAATAGTGCAGGAGTAACGGCGGTGTGTTGTAGCCCATCATTTACAGCATTAAACCTGATGTCCTACCACAGTATATCGATGCCTTTGGATTGCAATAAAACTAATATTTACTGCTGAACTGGGATGGGCAGTAACGTGTTACTTGTAACACGTTACTGTAATCTGATTACTTTTTTCGAGTAACGAGTAAAGTAAGGGATTACTATTGCAAAAACGGTAATTAGATTACCGTTACTTTCCCGTAGGAACGCTGCATTACTGCGTTACTAAAACCGTGATTTTTTTTGCGAGAATGTCTCATGACAGTGACGTAAGCAAGTGCGACGTTGGTGACAGCAGCTGTGTGCAGATCAACAATGGATAATATATCGAGTGCGGGAGAGAGTATGAGCGTGCAGCGTTTAAAGTGTGGAAGTACTGACCTTACTTTGAGTTTGATTCCATAAAAAGTGACAAAAACATTAGCGTCCATCGTGCGTGGGAAGAAAACTTCTTTTTACAGCGAAAAAAACCCCTAAACTTCCGAGCAAGCACCGAGTAGCTACGACGTGATGGGAAACTCACAGAGACACTCGCGCGGATTCTTCAACTGACCGCAGCACACCTACACCAGGGTAACCCTCCGCCTACCCTGCTCCTGCTTTACAGGTGAAAATAGAGCAAAAGGACCGCTGAGTCTTTGACTTTATTTATTTTCTGCTGTGTTTTACTTGCATCTGTTTGAAAGAGTGAGTGAAAACAAAAAATATTTTATTTTATGTGCTGGAATGTGCAGAAAATAGGTTTAAATGTTAAACTAATTTATTCAAGTCAGAGAATGGTGCATATAATTAAATGTTTTGCTTGATGCATAAAGTTAAAAGATTAAAACTGATAAAACAAGTTAAAAAAAGAGACTTTTCCATTTGATTACATTTTGTATGATGGATTATGTAGAAAAAGTAGAATTGGGCTGAAAGATCTATCACTTTATCACCTCTTCAGGTTGTAAATCGTGTTTTTAAAAAGTAACTAAGTAACTAAGTAACTAAGTAATTAATTACTTTTGAAAATAAGTAATCAGTAAAGTAACGGGATTACTTTTTGGGGAGAGTAATCAGTAATTAGTTACTGATTACTTTTTTCAAGTAACTTGACCAACACTGCTGCTGAACTTGCACAGTGGTCACATGAACATGAATTCTTTTAGAAACTATTCTCACAGAGTCCACATCCTACGTCAGGGGTGGGCAATTCCTAACCTGCATGTCAAAATACGGAGAAATAAACAGATCTTTACATGTAAACGTGCAGAATGGAGTCCCTGTAAAGAGCCAAAGTGGGAACACGTTTTCTGGAGTGCATTTGATAAAATAGATAAATGGACACACAGAACAGGAAGTCTTTCCCAGGAAGTCCTCCAGCCACAGCGGAAACCCAAATTATTGGCTCACAGTCATCAGACTATAGCTGCTGGACTATTAAACTTCAGTAAATAATTACAGCTGGTGTGCAATTGTGTGTTTTCTGCTTCATTCATTATGACTTTATTGAGCTGAAGGGCTGCTTGGAAAATTTGGGGATTTTTAGATTCTGCAAGGCGGCTTTTGAGCTCAGACAATTATGTTATTTAAAATGCACATATGATGCCACGATGATGATAAAATGTGCATCACAGTATCAATATGATCTTGTTATATCGGTCTCTGCAGTGTTTACTGAAGCACTTTTGCACTTGATTGCATCAGACCGCCGCGAGCGCGTTTCTTACCCCCTGTTGCCGTTTTGATTATCATGCTGGAGGTCAAGGAGGATGCCTGAATATTTAACAAAAGAAGAGCCATTTCATGCATTAATGCATGGACACGGTGCAGAGGTTTGGGTAAACATGGATGAGGGATCATCAGCAACACTGTAAATCCTGTACATTTATACATGCCGTACTTTAAAGTCTCTCTCTGCTGCACCTTCCCTCCGCCTCACATTTCATTCTCTTTGTCTCTGTGGCTGCAGAGGCAGATAGAAGAGCACGGTGCTGGAGGACTGTTGCTGCACCTTTGCTGGCAGCACGACAGGCCTTCTACACTAGATGTCATGCCTCTTATTCACGAGTGCTGTCGTGCTATCCAACAGCACACAATGTTGGCTTAGTTTGGTTCAGTGTGAACAACCACAGGCAGCATAACGAGGAGGTCTTCTCACCGCCGTTACGGTGCGAAAGGACCTTTTGTTTCTCACCTACCCGTCCACAAGCACAATCAGGACTCTGTTGTT